GGGATTCCATCATGTTCCTCAGATCCTCTATTTTTTTATCTGTGTCCTCTCTAGATTTATTAATCATGTCTTGCACTATGGGCACAATGTTTGTTGTTGTCTGAGAAATTATTTCTGATTTCATTTTTTCCAGATCCTCTTTCATTGCCAGTTCAGGGAGTCCAGGTGGTTGAGTATCAGACTGTTCCATCTCGTTTCCCTTTGGGGTTGCTGTAGGTGATCTGGAAGTCTGTGTTTTGAGGCTTGTTTACATGTCTTCTCATTTCCACGGGGTAGGGGCGGGGGTGCTGCTGGTGCCCTTGCGGCTCACCTCCTCTGCCCTGGGAACAGTGGAATGGTGGCCAGGGAGCCTCCTCCCAGGCACTGGGATTGGCTCACCTCCTCTGCCCTTGGAGTGTTGGAATGGCGGCCGGGGAAGCCTCCTCCTGGGTGCTGGCATTGACTCACCTCCTCTGCCCCGTCTGCTCACTTTTGACTGGGACAGAGGGTAAGGCTGGGCCTGCCCTTTGTTAATAATGCACCCGTTGTTGTTTCAGGACAAGAGATACCAAGGAGCATGGGATGGGGTGGGAACATGACACATGGGGCCTGAGATGTGGCTTCAGTGGAAGCACAGAGGAGAGAAAGGGTGCCAGAAGAGATGGGGGCGGTGGCAGGGGTCAGTTTCTTCAGGTCTTGCACAGGCTGCCCTAGGTAGTGAGGGAACTTGGGGGACTTGGGGATTGAACTGGACCCTGGGGAGGAGACAGAGGTGGAGGGAGAAGACACCTACATATAGGGAGGACTTTCTGGGTGGGCGCTAGGGTCGCCATTATGGTGCTCAGAGCCTGATTTGGCCCTTAAGGGTCCCCAGGGCAGTGGAGAGCTGGGGACTCATGGCACCAGGGTGCAAGGAAAGGCAGCATGGAGGGCAGGAACCGTGCTGTCAGGAGAGGCGGACAGGGGACTCATGCCGTTCCAGCAGCCTAGAGACTTCTGGACGAGTCTTCACCTTGGATCAATTTTGGCAAATTCTTTCCCTCCTGCAAGAGAATCCACAGAGAAGTTTACATTGTTCCTCAGTTTACAATTAAGTCTTGTTATTCCTGCCAAGGAGACTTCCTACTTCTCAGGGCTCCCGGAGGGCTTTTCTGACCCCACCCTGCTACCCATGTGGCTGTTTCTACTGCTCCCTGGCCGCAGTGGCTTTGACAGGCTGGAGGGCTGTACAGATGGCCACCTGACACCTGTCCTCTTCATTTTTAGAGAAACAGGTCCACAGAGCCTGGGCCTCCTCACAGGGACACCGTGGGTCCCGCGCGAATCTCATTATCCTGTCACTTTGTGTCCCCCCAGGTGACAGCCTGCTGCTGGTGAAGAACCCGCCCCCAGCCCCGCCGCAACCCCAGCCCCAGCCGCAGCCGCACCAGCACCCACAAAGCCTGCCTGCGCTGGCAGTGCCCGAGACCCCAGGCGGCCCCACCAGCCGCGCGGTGCTGGACGAGGGCTTCCGGGTGCTGCCTGGGGAGCGGGGCACGGGCGAGGCGCAGCCGGGCGCGGAGGGCGGCGCGGGCGGCGGGGGCCCCAGTGGTGGTCCTGGGGCTGGGGGCAGCTGCGGCAGCTGCTGCCCGGGCGGCCTGCGGCGGAGCCTCCTGGCGCACGGTGGCGCGCGCAGCAAGCCCTACTCCTGCCCGGAGTGCGGCAAGAGCTTCGGGGTGCGCAAGAGCCTCATCATCCACCACCGCAGCCACACTAAGGAGCGGCCCTACGAGTGCGCTGAGTGCGAGAAGAGCTTCAACTGCCACTCGGGGCTCATCCGCCACCAGATGACGCACCGTGGCGAGCGGCCCTACAAGTGCTCGGAGTGTGAGAAGACCTACAGCCGCAAGGAGCACCTGCAGAATCACCAGCGGCTGCACACGGGCGAGCGGCCCTTCCAGTGCGCGCTGTGCGGCAAGAGCTTCATTCGCAAGCAGAACCTGCTTAAGCACCAGCGCATCCACACAGGCGAGCGGCCCTACACTTGCGGCGAGTGCGGCAAGAGCTTCCGCTACAAGGAGTCGCTCAAGGACCACCTGCGCGTACATGGCGCGGGCCCCGCCCTCGGCGCCCCCCAGCGGCAGCTCCAGCCGCCGCCCGAGCGGGACTAGGGCTGGGCGGGGGCGGCGAGGGCTCCAGGGCCTTGCCGCCCTCTCCCCGCCGCCACCCGCTGGGATTGCACTCCAGACAGGGTCCCCGGAGGGCTGGGCAGGGGTACCCCAGACCTGTCCAGCCTGAATGCACAGCCCAGAGCATCTCCTAGAGCGGCCCGGGAAGGTGCCAGAGGAACAGCCGGGGGTGGGGGGCAGTGGACGTGCCCCCTCGGACCACCTGGCCACAGGGGACCCTATGGACCACAGGGGCTGCAGATGTGATGGGGAAGCAACTGTGGAGTCTGGACACGGCCTGATATAAGTCCGACCCTAAGGGCGGGTCGGAGGCATCCTGGAGAGGGAAGCGAAGGTGCAGTGAATGGGCAGAGGCACATGCTAAGAGTACCGTCCACGCCAGGATGACACTGCCTCGCCTTTCAGTCGCGCTTTGTACTTTTTAAAAAGTGTTTTCTATCCGTTATCTCTTCATCCTTAGCCTTTCCCTCTGTGAGAGGTGGGGTAGGGTGTTCCTGACGTGATAACTGAGGAGAGGGAGACGCAGGGAACATGAGTTCCCCATGATGACCCCAAAAGGCCATGGCGGGGTCCCGACGGTGCACACTGCCTACCTCCGACCTCCAGGGACTACTCTGGCCCGGCCTTCCCGGTCTCCTCCCTTTCCTCTACTTGGCCACCCCTCTCCTCTCAGACATCAGGGGCCAATTCCTGGGGTTACTGGGAACAAGGAACAGACTGGCTACAAAAATGCCCTGGTGAGGCACCTGGGCAGTAGCGCCCTGTCCTCAGGCCTGCCCGCCACCTCCAGCCCCTGGCCCTCAATCTGGTGCAGCGCCGGCTTCTCACTGCACACACAGTAGGGCTCTGCCCTTCAGAGGCAGCGGTGCTCCGGGTCCAAACAGCCATCAAGGAATGAGTCTGCCCAGGAGAGCCGGGCAGGGGTGCTAGCGTCTGAGCCCAGTCTCTATCCTGCCCTGGGTCTCCACCTGGTGCTATCTGTTCACTGACCATGTTTGTGTACATGGACACAGACCCTACTATGCTCTGCCCCTGCAGGCGCCTTGGGAAGTGCCCAAAGGACTCCCTTTCCCATTGGTGCATTGCTCTGTGACTTGGGGCATTGTGGCCCCAGGGGCCACAGTTTCCATTTCAGCGTCTTGCATGGCCAGACACTGGAGTGGGGTGGCATGCCCCAGGACCCTTGTTTGTGTCAAAAATGGCTTTTCCTGCTTTTCCCACGGATCCCGCTTCTCTCCCAGCCCAGGAGTGCAGTGGGCAGCCACCACTCGGTGGCACTGCATCCATGGTGACACCACGTCTGTGAGCCCCCTGCTTCTGTCCTCATCTGCGCTGCTCCACCTTCCTCAGACCCCCCCCTTTTTTTTTTTGCTGTGCAAAGGGAATTCCTGAAATTAAATAAAAGGTATCCAGATTGCAGACTGCATGTTCACCGAGCTGGAGGGTTTTCCAGCGTGGCACCCTACAGTAAAGCCTCAATGAACTGGAATGCAGTCCACTGGAATGTTATTTCTTCCTTCTTAGGAAAACAAGGCGAGATGAGAGATGAGACACAGGGTTTAGTGGGGTTCTGAGAGAGCACGGGGGACTCAAGTTCAGGGATTGGCTAGAAGGGGGCATTTATAGTACTTTGCAAAGCTGATGCAGAAAATTAACATTTTCATAATCTGAATCACGGTAAATAAGATCCAAATGTAGAGGGGGAATCACTATTGAGTTATTGGTTGAAAACATTTGAATACCCAGCTTGAGTCTTATCCCTTTATTTTACCCCCAGAAAGCTGATTCCCAAAGAAATGTAGTGACCCCAGTTTCCCAGAGCCTTCTGTGGGGGATCCCACTGTGCCAAGGGCCATCTGCTACACGGTGATTAGCCCCAGCCCAGGCGCCCCTGAGAGTACTCAGTAACTCTGTCCCCAGACTTGGTTTTACTAGTTGACACTCTGGGAGCTGGCAATTCATGTCCTGAAGCAGGCCAGGGCTCCTGCTTTGGGGGTAGATCTTTATTTTCCTTTTAGAAGATGTGTTTTTTTAAAAAGTTAAAATATTGATGCATGTATTAAAAAGTCAAATAGTAAAGAAAAAAACAAGAGTAACATTCCCATGAAACTCTTAGCATCCATTGCCCAGAGCTGCTGCTTTGTCCTTTCAGCCCTGTGTTCAGTGTCTGTTGATTTACTTCCCCATCTCAGGGTATGCTTTCTAGATTGCCTATCCCTGGTGGTCCAGAGGTTTCCGACGGGGACATCTGGGTTGTAGAGTTCTTTTTTCAGCCCTGTCACCAGATTACTGGGCACAGGTAGGAGCCCGTTCAAAAGAGGGCAGAGCGGTACAGGGACTGTTGGAGTGGGTAGTCAGCTCATCCTGCTCGTGGCTTCAGTCCCTTATGTTTTGCCAATTTGCTTCACTATCTAGAAAGAGGATGGCAGGGTGCTTGGAGGATGACGTTGGGGATGGATGGAGGCTAGCATTGTTATTCAACATTTAGTGAACACCTGTGAAAGAATAGGAAGTATAAGACTCAGTCTTTTTTTTTTTTTTTTGTACCAGGGATTGAACTCGGGTCCTTGCACTTGCACAGCAGGCGACAAAACCACTGAGCTAAATCCCTGGCCCAAGACTCAGTCTTTGTCCTCTGTGAGGTTGAAATCTAGTAGGAGAGAACAAAACCACTGGAAAGTGTATGGCTGCATGAAGGTGGAGACTTGGAGAATTACATGCTGGATTTCCTTTACTGGGTACTGCAAGGACATCAGACAAAGCCAGGGACACTAGAGAAGCCAAGACTAAGTCTCTGGTTTCCTGGATCCTATTCTACAGGGTCCCACTGCCCCAAGTGCCCTCAGCTACACCATGAGTGTAGCTGGCCCCAGGACAGGCTCCAGGAGTGTCATTGTCATAAGCTGTCCCCCTGGAACTGATCAAAGATGGTGACACACTCAGGACGTTGTTCACTAAGTTACATTTTTAGTTTTTACATGTTAGAATGGGCACCATTGGGGTGCATGTGATTGGAACTGGGAGACAAAACCACATGAGGAGGGAAGTGGCAACCCAAGCCTGTAGCTTTGGCTTGACAGTGGGTGATGGGAGGAGTAGGAATGCAGGATGCTGTAGGTATCAGGCCAAGTTTCATGGAGAAGTTAGGGCTGGCAGCGAGAGCTGGATAGGGCAGAGGGAAGAGAGGACGGAGGTGATGAGGGATAAGGATGGGAGTGTAAGGAAACAGACTGGCCTGGCCAGAGCCCTGGCGAGGGAAGTTCTGGGTCACATAGTTGGATGGGAGGCACAGCCAGGCCAGGGAGGGCCTTAAACACCCAGACGGTCCCAAAGACAGACTGCTGATGAGGCTGGGACCCTTTCCCCAGCCCCTCTGAAACTCCTTAGAGGCAGAGTGTGCCAGATTTCAAAGGAGATCAGCAAGGCGCAAAGAGGTCCAGAGAAGGCAGGCATAAGGCAGACACCACTGAAAAAGTCAACTTTACAGGGAAACAATGTTATAATCATGGATTTGGGCACTATAACTAGCTGTTTAGGATCTAGTCCCTGCCTATTGGGTATTGGGAGGGGCTAAGCAGCAGAAGTAGCAAACTTCACACCAGGTAACCAGCCTGTGCCTGTTGGTCCATCCAGCTGTCAATAGGATAAAATGTGCAACAGAGCGGAGTGCTAGTGAGGACTATCTCTGTGTCAGCCAGGATGGTGGAGCTAAGTGGGTTTTCTTTGGTTTTTCCCCATGAGGCACACACTTTGAAAGCCAAAGAAGGGGTCTTATTTCAGCCTAGCACAGCAAAGGGCCCAAAGTTAGACCTAACATATTAGTGATCACTATTCTTACCATCAGGGATTTCTTAGAGTTCTCCATCTCCCCTTCCCAATCTTGTATCCCTCTGCTTCTCTGAGGAGCAGCTCTGAGTCTTTGTTCTGAGCTCCCTTCTCTCCCAAGATATCCAGGGAAATAATCGAATCCTATTTTTTATGGAGAGTAATTTTATCTTATCTGCCCACCTTCTGCTTTCCAAGCCAAAGCTTTGGGCTTCTTTTTCCACACACACAAAAAATGGCCAATAAAACTATGCCTAAACAAAATACTATTCTTTCCCTAAGAGGAATTCTATACAAGTTTTTAACCAATCAATTAATGAAGACTTGAAGAGATTTTACCTTAAGACCTTCAAAATTCAAAATGTGGACAAAGAATATCCAATAAAATATCTAGCCAGGTGTGGTGGCCACACCTTTAGTCTCAGCTACTCAGGAGGCTGAGGTAGGATGATGATCACTTGAGCCCAGGAGTTTAGGACTAGCCTGAGCAACATAGCAAGACCCTGCCTGAAAAAATAAAACAAAACAAATCTCCCTCACTCAGTTCCTCTAAAGCAATAAAGTTATCAGTTCTCACAACCAAACACATCTATATATTCTAATCTCTTTTTTGGCAGAAATGGTACAATACTGTAATATTTTAAAATGTTGTAATATCTTGTTCTTCACTTTGCTTTCTTCCTTTTAAAAGATATCTAGGTAATCATTCTGACCAGTACATAAAAACTTCTGTTTTCTTTTTTACATCTGCATATTTTTCATTGAACAGATGGCTCTGATGTACTTCATCACTTACTTCCTGGACTTCCCAAACAGTGACCGTGTCCAAGTCACACATACCTTATGCCTGTCTCTTCCTCACCTTCTGGGCCCTTCCATTTGGTCTGGAAAACAGACAAGCACAATACTTTATCAGAATATTTCTGGTTGCAATCAACATAAACTGACTGTCAACCAAGGAGAATGAGGAACTTTCTGGAAGGAATCCAGAATCATTCACAGACTCAAAGAAACAGTCAAGCAGCCAATCCTAGACCCACATGACAGTGTCTCTGGAGCATCTCTGTATGTTGGAATCATTCTTCCAAACAACTTACTCAGAAACAAGGAGGACAACATTGTTCCTGACCCATATGGATATGGCTTCCTCAGAGAGGAGGTGAACCTGTTCCCTAAGCCCAGTTGGAAGAATCTCAGGGAAGAGCTCATGTTGGTGTAGCCCAGGTCACATGACTATCCTGGCTCAATTACAGTGGTCAGGAGGCTCAGTGCTATGATTGGATCAACCTGAGTCAGGTGCCTGCTCTTTAGTCACTGTAACCAGGCTTGAGTTGCCACATAAAAAGATGGTGGTACACATGTGAATTACATGGTGGGAACCCAGGGAGGAGCATTTCCCAGCAGGAGGGAGAAGCCATGCCCAGAGGAAGAGAGATATGGCAGGCTGTTTAGTGGGTGTTGGGTGTCCACACATACACAGCAAGGAACACACCTTGAGCTCAGGTACATCCATTCTAGGATTCTTGCTGGCCTGGAAGCCTAGTGGTGGGGGGCTATTAAAGGGAGGAAAGGAACACAAGTCACTGTCTCTGGCACCTAGAGACTTGCAGGTTAGTCAGGGGACAGAACGGAAAGAGCTGCAATGGAGTGGAATTACAGCCATGGGTCTATACACTTTCTTTACTAAAAAAGTTTGGCATGTACATCTATATTCTAATATGTATGCTGTAAACCATACACACAATATAAAGTTTAAAGCATAAGAGAAACATTTTGAAAGAATAATTTTGTATTGTTTTGAGACAGGGTCTCATCCCATAGTCCAGTCTGGTCATTATGTAGACCAGGCTGACCTTGAACTTGCTATTCTCCTGCTTCCTTCTCCCTCAGCCTGGGATTACAGGTATACACAGCTTGAAAGTATAATTTTTAATTAATCTAAAGTATTTGTTTCCATTGCAGACTTTCTGTGTCTAATTTTTTTTGCAATTTATTTTTATTTATTTATGGGGGGGTTGTGATAGGCTCTTGATATGAATTTACATATAGCCCAAGGGACCTTGAACCTGTAGTCTTCCTGCCTCAGCCTCCCAAGTGCTGGAATTACAGGCTTGTGCCATCATAGCTAGAAATTATCCATCTCTAAAAATGGATGAGATGATGTCTAAGATCACTCTCATATTCTACGAATCTGTAGATGATGACACAGGTACGAAAAGTGTCTATTTCCTTCATTCTTCTACCACTGTCACAGATGGGAATAATTGGAAATCACATTTAGAAGTTTTGTAAGAGGCATGTGTCAACATTTAAGTGTTGGTGGGAAAGGACAAATGGATGGCTTCTAAGAGACATAACAAAGTGACATTTATCTTGGTAAACTCATTGTGTAGCACAAGGCTTGGATCTTGCAAAAACAACAATAATAAATTGCCTTCTTTTTTTTTTTTTTGGTACTGGGAATCAAACTCGGGTCCTTGTGCTTGCGCAGCAGGCAGCAAAACCACTGAGCTAAATCCCCGGCCCAGAAACTGCTTTCTTTTGAATCCATGCTGTATGCCTAGCACTCAGCTACGTAAACACTTCACATAAGCTATTTCTTCCAATACCAACAATGACCCCAGAATGAGGTGTTCACATTCTGAGTGGGAAGAAAAGGTCAACAAGACAGAACATAAATCCCTCCACCTAGTGAAGGAGCTGGACTCAAAGAATAATAATGGCTGGGTATGGTGGTGCACACCTGTCGGAAGCAATTCTACATCATTTTGGGGAAAAGTCATTTGATTAGGCCTAGTTCTCCTGCCTACAGGCCAGCTGTGGGATTTCGAGACAAAACTCCATTGTGGCCTCCAGTCACAGCTAAGACCTCAGTGGTCAGGTGATGCTGTGATGCTCCAGGACAAGATTGTAATCCAGCTGACGACATCCTGGGAGTAACAAAATCTTCATCTCCTCAGTTCCTCATTGTTCCTGGATTTCTGCTGCCCTGAGTCATTTGTTACACTTTGTTTATCTGGATGTACTGAACCCTCTGCAAGGCACTTGTTACCTTTGTTTCTCCCAATGTACTGAATAAAAGGTGCAGTAAACTCCAGGGCTTTGTCTTTGCCACCCAGAGCAGCACTGATCAGGCCCAAAGCTCAGTTTCTTCTCAAAGTCTCACTTTTTCTACCTTTTGTGTATAATAAGTCAATTCACCTTGTGCTGTCATGGCTCGAAGGAGACTAGGTAGGACTTAGTGCAGAGGTTCTAGTAACGTCCCCTTTCCCTGTTCCCTACACACACCTGTTTTCCCGGTACTCAGGAGGCTGAGCCAGGAGGATCACTATGAATTTGAGGTCAGGCTGGGCTACATAATGAGTTCAAGGCCAGCTAGAACTATATGGGGAGACCTGTCTCAAAAAAAAAAAAAAAGAAAGAAAAAGAAAAAAAGAAAGAAAAGAAAAGAAAAAGAAAAAGAAAAAAAGAGGAAGAAGAATGATCATGAGCCCTCCTGGATCACTTCCTCTGTGACAGATGCTATTCTAAGGACTTGACCTCAATTCACTCATTTAATTTATACAAGTCTAGGAGCTAAACACTATTATGACTGTCCAATAATAAAGAGGAAATGGCAGTACCAGGCCGTTAAAACCTTGCCCAAAATCCACATCTAGCAACCTTCACTCTTCCTCCCTAAATCATTGCCCTTAACCATCTCTGAAAGCCTGGGCAACTGGAAGCCAGGGCCTGGTGCTGCCTCCCTGGGAGGCTGGAAATTTGACCTAAAGCCTTTTCCAGAGTCCCAGGCTCAGTGTCAGGGAAACAGAATCATGATGCACAAGTCAGAGTATCAGTTTAGCAATTGCTGGGGTGGACTGGACATTCCCATCCACCTGACCCACACGTTGTCGCCTAGCAGCCACATGGGAGCCTGCACCATCAGACGGCCACATGGAGAGCTGGAAATGGAACAGAACGATGAGTTCTACGACTGAACTATTAACAGCCTTAGTGCCCTATGTCCTGATCTGTGCGCCTTCATGATTGTAAGACATCCCTCTGTGTCTGATGACAGAGCGGCAGTAGGTTGAACTCTGGCAGGGCCTGGATTTCCTTTAGATTTGCTAATGATTGAATTAAACCTTGTCTATCCATTTGCCCTGGAAATCATGCTTTCTCTTTGAGATGATTTTTCCTGTCCTGACTCTCATTCACCACTCAATCATTCAAAAATGTTTGTGAGCACTTCTGAGGACAATAAATGGCAGATCCATTGGAAAGACATTTTAGTGGAAGAGTCACAGATAATTAACATGTGAAATGATAATAAAAACGATAGTGGTAGGTGTTAGGAGACATCCTAGTAGGTGATGAGCTTGTTGGGATGTAGACAGGATAGACAAGGAACAGCTCTTCAAGGAAGCAGAATCTGGGCTGAGTTCTGCATGTATAGAAGGACCTAGTCTAGTGAAAGTTATTCGGTTGGTTTTTAAGAGTTCTTGCTGGGTGTAGTGGTACGAGTCTGTAATTCCAGCATTCGGGAGAAGAGGCAAGAGGATCACCACAAGTTCGAGGCCAGCCTGGACTACAAAGTGAGACCCTGTCCTAAAAAAATTTAGTTCGCAAAAATAAAAAACAACTTAAAGTTTAGTTTTCAGAGGAAGCACCTCATGGGTTTGTTAGAGGTGACAGTTCATTTCACTCTCTTTCACCGTGTGTAGAGAGACAATGTAGTATCAGGTAGGTAAGTGTGGTTGTAGTAGTGGTGCTGGTATTGAGTCTGAAGTACATGGTGATCAAATGATAATGTGGCCACACTTTCTAAATCAAAGCTCCAAATGCATCTTTTAACACGAAGCAAGAGGACTAGATTGATTATCTGAAATCAAAGCTATGGTGGATTTTCCAGCGCATGTGATTACCATAATTAATAGGCTCTACTAGGTTGACCTGGGCCCCGACCCCACAGTGTTGCTATGGAAAAGCCAAACAACAGGTGAGCATTTGCAATAAAACAATCTGCTGCTTGGGACCGTATCTCAAATCCTCAACTAGGTTACATGTTCTTGTCCCCAAGCAGAGTCTGAATTTTATACATTTTTAAATCCCTCAAAGCATTTAGCAGAGTGCTAGGCACATAGAACCCATGGACTTACCCTAAATTCAGAACCTGGCTTTGACTTTGAGATCTTAGCCATGTTTTCAACCACGCTACTTGGAGTCCCAAGCTGCAGTTCACCCTCCCGCCGCACGGGGGCGCAATGGTAATCCTGCGTGGTGGGACGAGCGGCAGGAGCCGTCTTGGGCCGGGGAGGGCCCGGTTCCCAGAATGCACTTTGTATCAACACAGCGGCGGGGGAGGTTTCGGGAGGTGCGGGCAGCTGGCGGACTGGCACGCAGTGCTATCGGGCGGGCCCGGGGTTGAGGAGCGACTGGAGCCATGGCAGAGTCGGCGCCTACTCGGGTAGGAGGTCTCTCGCCGGGCCCGGAGAGCGTTCGGGATGGTGGCCCCGCTGCCTGGGGCGGGGCTTCGCGTTGCACTAGGTCAGAGGCTCGGTTTCCTGGGCTGCAGCTGGCCAGGCGGACACCCCCTCTCTCCTCGCGAGCCTCACACTATCGCCTTTTTCCTCTCTGCTTCCTCTCACATCGCGCTCAGCGCCTCGGCTCTGTGCGCCTTCGCCCAGTAACTTGTGCGAATCTTGTGTTTGTGACTGTGCTCACCCATTTTCTCCTTCGTGTCCAAAGAGACCCTGTTTCCAGGTTGGAGCCGGGGGCGCTGCCGCCGAGTTCATGGGGTGGTCCGGAGACCTGGGACTCTTCGCCTCTCTGCGACCAGTGCTTGCTGCTCTGACGCGCAGCCAGTTTCTTCTGCTTCACTCTGGCTGCAGATTTCTGTCCTAGGATCGCAGCTACAGGTTGAAGTCAGACGAGGTTTCCTCTCCTTGGGGGTCCTGTGTTATCCGCAGTGTGGTTGCTGGCTTTTGTTTGCGAAGCTGTGGAGCGCTGTCTCCCTTTCCACCTCCCTCCGCCATCCCTTTTCAGGGAAGGTCTAGATCCTGGAGTTTGATGTGAGGATCTCCTCGGTGTGGAGAGTCAAGTCGCTAATGAGCTCTCAGCTATCGGCTTAAGTGGTGTTAGGCAACCGCGATCATCTGTCTGGGCCTCTGTTTCTGTTAACTGTGAGTTAAGAGTGTTAGATTAGTGGGTAGATGATCTCTAAGGTCCCTTCCAGCTCTGACATCCTCGTACTAAAGTTGTGGTTAACTTAATACAGGAGAATTTACTATGGAAAGGGCATATGGAGCCAAATTAGTTTTAGTGCAGCTGTTTTTGATCCAGAAACACTTTCAGAATCACGTGAGATCTTTTGTGAGAATGGAGGACTGAGGAGCTCTTTTACCTTGAGCAGGGTGCATTGTATTTGATTGTTATAGGAAGTGGATAAGAAGTAAGGGAGGGATTGGTTGACTTACCACAGCATTTGCTTTCAAGATAGTTAACAGTTAAATTGAGAAGACAAGACACAAATATCTGCAGTGTTTTCCTTCTCTGACTCCTTTAGGCTTGCGGGTCATTCCACGGTCACTTATGTCATCAACACACTTTGTTTAGAGGAAATCTTAAAGATCTATCAAAATCCAAACTATGCTTTAAATAACTTGTGGATTTGTCATTGTGGAACTTACACCAGTCTTGAGCATATTTCTGTTCTCAGACATTCTCTCTTCAGATGTGGGTCTGTATCTCTAGACTAAGTAGGTGCCCTGATGAAAACAACTAAAAATGCTGAGGAGGAAAACCTACATAAGTGTATTTGAAATGTACAGTAAAGAATACTTGAAGCCTCAAAACTAAATGAAAGAGGGAACTCCTAAGAGGTAAGTGGAGTTCTGATGCCAACTTTGAGGGCGAATTCTGAACATTTATTTTTGGTAACCTAGCAAGTAGACAAGACCGAGCCTAAGGAGCATCTTAAGAAGTTCCCTATCCTAATCCTATGAAAGCTGAGGCTCTAGTATTCTAAGGATGAACTGAAAGTGAACTCTTTCCCCTAGGTGATTGTAAAAAAAAAACAAAAAAACAAGGCTGAGAATTTAGCTCAGTGGCACCATGCCTGCCTCCTAAGCACAAGGTCCTGAGTTCAATCTCCGATACCAAAACATCAACAACAACAAAAACTTGTCTAACCTTGGCACTGAGGAATAGGTAGAGGATGGTGACCCTCACGTAGGTTTATTGCCTGGATTAATACTGCCTGAATGGTCCAAGAAACCTCACCCAGAGTTGAAAGTAGAGCTCCCAGTTGTCTTATCAGAAATAAATGCAAATCGGGGGCTGGGGATTTAGCTCAGTGGTTCCACTGCCTGTCTTGCAAGTGCAAGGACCCAAGTTTGATCCCTGGTACCAAAAAAAAAAAGTTAAAAATTATGTACTGCAAACATGCACTCATAAATATAAGTAGTTAGGGGCCAGGGATTTAACTCAGTGGTTCTGCTGCCTGACTTGCAATCACAAGGTCTTGAGTTTTATGTATATATATATGTATATATTATATAATTTGATGTGCAGTCAACAATAACACTGTATGATA